CCACCTCCCCTCCCCCCTCCCACTAGAGATACATTAGCTGAGATGCATTTCGGTCGACCTTCCAAAATGCAGTTGGAATCATTCGCATTAAGAAGTCACCAAAACATGGTAGAAGCATCGGTTTGATGCAACCTGCGGAAGCCAGTTTCGCTGCTCGAATTCAGTCGCGCTCCTCCCTCCCCCCCTATAGGGATATATTCTGAAGTGCATCTCGGTTGCCCTGCCGAGATGCCGTCGTCGGCCTCATTGGCATGAAAAAGTCGCCAAAAACATGACGAAAGGATCGGTTTGATGCAACCTGCGGAAGCCAGCTTTAATGCTCGAGTTCGGTCGCGCTCTCCTCCCCCTCCCCCCTCCTGCCCCCCATGCTAGGCCATTTCCTTTATTGAAGAAGTTTTGAATTACTGGACATATATAGACGGCCACATAGGTAACGAAAGAGGAGAACTAGACATGCAGAGGGCAATCCAGTCCAGTGCATCCTCTGTAGCCTGCAAGATCTTTAGAGGGTGAAAAGAATGGACAGAGAATCACACGCGTGACAGTTGCAAAACAGATGTAGTAGATGGCAATTAATTTCATGTTTCGGCCTCGTCATGAGATTTTCAAATTTGTGCTAAAAATTTTAGTGTATAATAAATACATTTTATTATAATAATTAAACTGATAGACCCACAAGAACTTTTTGCGGGCATTCCGTATGAAGAAAAATAAAAAAGTACCTCCATAAGGGTAAGAGCTCACAATTTTACAGGATTGAATACAAGGAAGTTGTGCTTGTGCGTGTGAGAGCTACGGATAGAAGAATTTTCTCCTGAAAATGCGTTGCCGCATCAGTCGATCAAGGCTCTTACTGCTCGATATCGAGATAGCTGTTACTATGACTAACAATAAGCCGCAGCCGCGCCGTCGCGAGTTTCGCACGCGCGCTGATTCATCGTCCTAAGTATTTTGGCGCATGAGGCAAATACATAGGTACATAAAAGATTAAAAAAAATTTATAATGTACAATTGAATTCTTTGCTACAGCCGAAGTAGCATTTTTCAACGGAAAAACCGGGATATCGGTATTGCAATTTTATCGGCTATAAAATCGCCAGGATCATCAACATCTGAGCGATTATCCTCGATCTTACCGGGATAAAATCGCGATTCCATCGCCAGGCAATTTATCGCGATATTGTCAAAATAAAAATCACGATAAATGGCGATTTAATCTCGATAATATCGACGAACATATTGATCGCGATTTTATTGAACCAAAAATTGTGTTAATATCGCAATTTTTAATACGATAGTATGTCAATATATTGCCACCGATATAATCGCGATAACCAACCGACAAAATCGCTATTTATCGCGATCACGGCTATTTGGGAGGGGGAGGAGGAGAGGGAATGATGGAGAGGACTTGCTGTGGGGATCAGAGGATCAGCATTTTTTTTTTAAAAGAAAGAAGTTTTACTTTGGAGGCATTTTTACTTCAAGGGGGAGGGAGAAATTTATCTCCAGAAGGGAGGGACTGTTATTTTTTGGAGCGGACTTTTATTTGCTTGGGGAAGGGGGGAGGAGAAAGGAAAAACATCACAGTTTCTACCGCCTGTTGCTCTTTCCTCACACCGGATATAGGTACTATGATTATTTAAAGAATATTCAAAACATAGGCTATGTAGCCTCTTAAATATTCCACGAATACTCATAGAATATCTGTACATCATCATAATCATCATCATCAATATAAACTTCGAAGGATTCAGACTTTCAGCGATTCTATCTTTTTCTATTTCACTCGAGAGGTTGCCAGATTGTGCGATAAATGTGAATATTTTACATATTTTTGGATTTGAATTGGGAAAAGTGCTAAAAAAGCAACTTATCTGGCAACAATAGAGTCCGGGAGGGACGAGAGGCTGCCTTCCTGGGAAAAACCATGATTTAGCCGGAAATGTCATTAAAACAATTCATTCCGTTTGAAGCATCAATTGTATACTAGAGGAAAGCTATTTTAAAATAATAATTGTAAATGGACACAGATGCTCCAGAAAAGGAAAAAGGAAAGGGAAAGGAAATGAAATGAGGATATGATTACTAATATGCAATCAGAGAAAATAAAACAAAAACATCAGAGAAATTTATATGCGATGAAAGAATAAGAAAAAATACGAGTGTGCTCATTGCGATTCGGAACTCGAACTATACCATCGTTGAACAATATTTAGACCCCCACGCCACCGATAATCTTCTTAAGAAGTAAAGATAAACTTTTGCCACTTCAGCAAGTCAAATCGCGGAAGGAGATCCATGGATTGTCTTTTTCCGCCATCCGAAGGGATGACGTCCCAGTCAAATGCGTTTTTGAAGAAATGATCGATCCCCATCATCGCTTCATCTCCACACATCTATTCACGTGCAAATGATGGCACGCTCCGGCAACAAGGTTCTGTGACGAAAATTTTTGCCTCCAGAGTCTCCAAAATGTATAGGTACCTCTTAGTGATCAAATGTCCAATCACTGAGAAAAATGGCTCGCGGAGCGAGCCGAATGTCACTCGCGTAGCGAGTGATCAGGGGTCCAGGGGGCGCAGCCCCTTGGCTGGCCGTGACGGACGCGCGAAGCGCGTCCAGTATTCTATAAATATTCTGTGGATGTTCAAGAATCGAGGATAATTATATTCGAATATTCTCAGCTTATTGTGTGCTATCTGGGCTCTTTCTGCCTAATGTTCTCACTTCCTTTTTCTTTAAATGTCACCTCTTTTTTTATTTCAGTTCCGAAGGACATAAATTCAGTTCTGCAAGAATACACTGAACAAGGTTACAGAGTCATTGCAATGGGAAACCGAATTCTAAAAAATACTGATCATGACGCAATTCATTTGCTGAAGCGCTGTCAAGTAGAGCAGGACCTCCAGTTCCTTGGACTCATCATTTTAGAAAACAGGCTTAAACCACAGACGGTTGATGTCATACAAGAATTAAAGCAAGCCAACATCAAAGTTGTGATGATAACTGGTCAGCTCCTATTTATTCGAAAAATCTAACGAAGACCTATTCCAGCGTTTAGAATTGCAGATAGTTTCATACACCTAGTGCACCACACATCGAACATGCCGTCCTAGTACAAAATTGGAAAAAAGGCCAAACATCACAAAGTCCCGATTCATGAAAATTCGCTGTATTGAAGAACGATCAATACGTACAGTCGAAAAATCGATGTTCGACATTTCGGTGTTCTGACAGCTGCCCCTTTTTTGGAAAATAAAGCCGATGGATCTACGTCCGTAGTTCATAAACGTTAGACTCGCAAGAAGTGGACCTTATTCAAATACAGTGCACTCACGCAGATTATATTTAATACCCCAAATAGCAAAATAAAAATATTTTATGAAAAAAAAAATTTAGAAAATAAAGAAAAATTAGCTAGCATTATGGAAAGTAGACAGAAAATTTAAAGTGAGTGTCACTATTTACCAAAGAAAATAGATCTATTTCCTGTCTAAAATGGATCTATTTTCCATCTAGAAAATTGATAGGGCTTTACCCTTAAGAAAAAATATCCAAAAACCTGATGGAAAATACAGAAAAATGAGACCTTTTTTTTATATTTTTCTTAGAAAAAAATTGATGGCATTCAGAAATAGATTCCTTGGACGTTTAATTAGTTAAAACCTTCATTAGATAAATAAGAACCGACGGGATGAACCCTATTTTTAAGGAAACTGTAGTCAGTGGGCGATTGTTTACATCTGTCATACTGATAACAGAAATGGTGCTTAGCTCATAATATTCAGCCATTTTCCGGAGTTTTTTCTTTTTGGTCACTATTAGAGGGTAAGTTTTTTTTGTAAATCAATTATTTAGTACTTTTAGGATCATGTTAAAAGCTATACCTAACGGTGTACTTAAATTGTTACATATAAATTCAGAGCACACTCGCTGGCAGCCCCACGCTCAAACCATGGATGTTTTCACAATGTGTGTAAATCATTCTCAACAAACATCTTAAAATCATTCAGCACGTTTCCACGTTTTAAACACATACAGGGTTATCCAAAAGTCACTGACCACCCCTGTAACTTTTTTCCAAATTGAGATAGAAGTTTAAAACTTTGGGAATGTTCCTCGGTCTAAGGGAGCAACTTTTTGGTCCCCCCAAAATTTTGGGGGGCGGCCTCCCTTAAGGGGGCGGGGGCTAACTTTTTTTTTCAAATGGCAACCCCCCCCCTTTGTGATACCTCATTCGAAAGATAATAAAAAAAGAAAATTTTTGGCGCAAACCGCAGGTCAAAATGTTCATTTTTGACAAAATGGCGGCCGGTCAAAGTTCAAAATGGCGGAAATTTGGCAACTCCGTTGTTTATTGACGGATTGGTGTGAAACTCGAAATCCTAGGGTTTTTCGAGATGAGAAAAACGATTCTGGCATTGGTTTTCCAGAAAAGTCAGTCCTTTTCAAAATGGCGGCCTCGAGCGGGAAGTGGATATTTAGGCTGCATATCGTTGGATTTGCATGAAACTTGGTATCTGGCGGTATTTCGGCACGAGAAGAACGAATCTTTCAATGGATATCTGAAATGTTGACAAATTACATGGCGGCGGAAAAATGGCGGGAAATCAGTTTTACGGCTGTTCGCCGATGGATTTGCATGAAATTCGTAATCCTGGCGGTTTTTGGCTGGATAAAAAGGAATCTTTCATTAGATTCTTGAAATATCAAATAATTTCATGCTAATCCATCGGTAAACAGCCGTAAAACTAATTTCCCTCCATTTTTCCGTCGCCATTTTGGAATTTGTCAAAATTTCAGATATCCAAAGAAAGATTCGTTCTTCTCGTGCCGAAATATCCTCAGATACCAAGTTTCATGCAAATTCAACGATATGCAGCCTAAATATCAACTTCCCGCTCGAGGCCGCCATTTTGACCGCCGCCATTTTGAAAAGGACTGACTTTTCTGGAAAACCAATGCCAGAATCGTTTTTCTCATCTCGAAAAACCCTAGGATTCCGAGTTTCACACCAATCCGTCGATAAACAACGGAGATGCCAAATGTCCGCCATTTTGAACTTTGACCGGCCGCCATTTTGTCAAAAATGAACATTTTGACCTGCGGTTTGCTTCAAAAATTTTCTTTTTTTATTATCTTTCGAATGAGGTATCACAAAGGGGGGGGGTTGCCATTTGAAAAAAAAGAGTTAGCCCCCGCCCCCTTAAGGGAGGCCGCCCCCCAAAATCTTGGGGGACCAAAAAGTTGCTACCTTAGACCGAAGAACATTCCCAAAGTTTCAAACTTCAATCTCAATTTGGTAAAAAGTAACGAGGGTGGTCAGTGACTTTTGGATAACCCTGTATATTACTTTAAAATCCAGTGTATTTGTAATGTAATACTACCTATGCAGAAAACTGTATTGATACATAAGCCTGCTAATCGAAGCAGAATCCTACGTCTACTTCCCTTGCCTCCATCTTAATCATACCCGTCTCCTCGGTCTGGAGGTAACTGTCGATGGTAATTTTTTTTTATACATATATCATCAATGATTGATACTTAATGATACAATCTTTTTGGTGTCTTCAGTGAAACATCGAAGGGAAAAATATCAAGAAATAACAACTAACTCGCTACATCCAGGTTTGAGTGTTGGACTGCCAGAGTGTGTTCGGAATTAATATGTAACAATTTATACCGTTAGGTATAATAGCTTTTCACATGATTCTAAAGGTACTAAACAATTGATTTACAAAAAAACTTACCCTCAAATGGTGACCAAAAAGAAAAAACTCATGTAAATGGCTAAATATTGAGCTAAGCACCATTTCTGTTATCACAATAACAGATGTAAACAATTTCCCATTGACTACATGCAGTTTTCCCTTAAAATGGGTTTATTCCGTCGGTTTTTATTTATCTAATGAGGGTTTTAACCATTTACCTAAACGTCCGAGGAATTCATTTCTGAATACCATTTTGGTAAGAAAATCATCGATTGACTCGATATTTGCATTTGAAAAGCGGCTGTCAATTCCTTTGTGGGAAAATACACCGTAAGTGATGAAAATAAGTCCAAGTTTGTCATGAGATGTGACGTAACAAGTGTACCGGATTCGTTCCCACATCATCGAAGTGACCATATGAAAATCCAAATTTTTAGGCGTTTTTAAGTTGATTTTTTGGCGGTTTCCGGTGATCAAAAATCTCCGAGAAAATTCCTGTGACATCTGGAGCCATAAGTTATTTCGATTGAAGCAATAAGAAAAAAATGGCTTCACAGGCCCATTAGGTACTACTTAAGTAATCGTAAAATAGGTAGGTAAATGAAATGGAGGAGAAAAATTAAAACTTAGGAAGACTCATTAAACAGACTTAACGGACAAGAGTTAATTTAACTGAATAATCTCTGTGAGTCAGTTTTGCAGATGAACGTTTTCGTTGTTGAATGAAATTTTAAGAAACCATATTTCCGAGAAAAATCGTATACCTAACAGCTGCGCTTCCACACTTATGAGCGACGAACGGAGCCATTCCTATAAATCTGTCTGCCACCGCTGAAAGCTACACGATTTTATTTGACGCCATTCTTTTAAGAATTTAACCTGTTCTCCATGGTAGTTAGGTCTGGCAATTGAAGAAAATATCCGAGGAAATCCTAAGGACAACCGAAATGGACTTCTGGTGGAGATCTGTGGGGAACTCGCGAATAGAATAGGGCACGTTTTACTTATAATGAGCGAGTGCGTGAAATAATAGGGGTTGAGAACGATATTGTGCACGATATCAAAATCAGGCAGCTGGTTTGGTATTATAGGCATGTGCTGAGGATGGAAATTGGTCGGTTGCCCAGAGACCGGTATTTGATTGGGTTCTTCACGGAAGAGGGCGGCGTGGACGTCCAGTAAAAAGGCTGGCGGCAGAGAGTAGAGGAGGAGATCAGGGGGTGTCATTTTACCTGTCAATTGGTGGGAAAAAACTTGTATGACCCAAAAATCTCGAATATCAGATGCATCACCCACTTGAGATGCATCGTAGGAAACGGTAAAACTAAAAAACCCGGTATAAGTATAGCTTGCCCCTTCATTCGAATTCAATTTTGTTGATAGGTGATAACGTTGCTACAGCAGTCAGCGTAGCAAAAGAGTCTGGCATTGTCAATCCTGGAGAGCCAATCATACATGCAGATGTATTGCATTCAACAAACAGCAAACTCTTACCCGAGCTTCGGTTTTCTGCCCCTGATATATCTATTCCATCCGTAAGTATTTTGTGCTTTTGTCAACTTTGTATTTAAAGAAATACCTACGCTATTTATCCACTGTATTCGGATATGGGTAGGGGGAACCAGGGCTATGTTGGCCACGGGGCTATGATAACCACGATATCGTGGGAATTTTGTAGGGAAAAGGTAGAGTACCTGTATAGGGAGAGTAGCGACAGATCGGTTCATGGAGGGCTTGGGGCCCAAAAGTGCAGCCACCCTTCTGAGCAACTTCTAACACACAAAATTTCACTGCCAGCCTACAGATTTCAATTCTAACCAAGATGGCTAAGAATGTACATAAATGAGCGTTCTTTCGCAAAAATAAATAAATTTATGCAAAAAGTAAACCAAATACATGCTTTCTAAACGACGGTTCGTAACAATTGTATTTGTAAATCGCTCTGGACATTCGAAATTCATAGGTTGGCTGCCCTTTTGGGC